ATGAAAGAGGTGCCCCTTCCTGAAGTGCGGCGGGAGGTGGGGGGGAAATGGCCTCAGGTGGCCACATGCGGCCCCCGGGCCGTAGTTTGGGGATGCTTGGGTTAGAGAGTAAGGTGTGGGTGTGGCTTGGGAAGATCCTAGAGTGATAAGTAGAATATTGGGAAGGTTGTGGGGTCACTGGCAAGTGGATAGGCATGTCGGGTGTAAGCTAAGATGTGGGAGGAACATGGGGTTGGAGTGGGGACGGGTCAGGGTAGGGGAGAGAGGTCTGGAGAGGTGTGAACAACATGAGGCCACTTTCCCACTCCTAGTATTAATTCACTGTGTCCTTGTCCTAGCTATAAACATCGCCTCCTCTCTGTCCCTGCTCCAAGATTCCTGGTTCCTGCTCCTTCCCAGAACCTCATGCTTACATTCCTTAGTGATGAGATGAGCTTCTGTGGATCTGGAGGCCTGTCCCCAAGGACAGGCTTTGCCATGGCTCCCAGGAGGCTGCTTATTGACTGCGTGCCCCTTCCTTCACCCCCAAACAGGGACTAGGGCAACTCTCTGGCCCCAAGAGCCCTGGATCAGGGAGGCTGCCTGTGGGGCACTGCTCACTGACTGCAAGCCTGTGTGCTGATAACAGAGATCACTGGCCAACTTAGGTCTCCTGTCCTTTACCCAGTGTCCTGACCTCCCTGCTCTCAGCACCCCTCATACCCAGTGTTAGCAAGGAGTCCTACTTGGCAGGAAAGCTGTGGCAGGTAGGAGGAGAGAGGAAGTCAGTGGGGCAGAAACAGCTGCCAGCCAGAGTGGAGGAAGAGCAGGGCCCCAGCGGGTACGGGCAGAAGGCAAGGCGCTGGCTCTGGCAGCCCCCCATCCTCTCTCTTTGTGTCGGTGTTAGGACCAACCTCCTTCCCTAGCCCTCCCCATCCAGTGCTTCTGTTCAAGGAGTAAGCTTTGCTTACAGGCCTAAAATCCAGGCTGAAATAGACCTCAAATGTCAACTGGTCCAACTCTGCTCATAATCTGGTGTTAGAGTTGCCTCCATGGCATTTTCCCCAGGGGTCCACCTGTATCGGGCCAAATACTTCCTGGGAGCAGGAGCTCACTTCTTCCTAAGGCAGTCTGTTCCTTCTTTGAAAGGAGGAAACTGAGCAACTCTGATACGGCAGTTCTAGGTACTGCACAGACTTTTCTCATTAATGACAACCTCACAGGGCTGTTACAATGAATTAGCTCCATTTTATAGGTAAGAAAGGTGAGGCTCAGAGAGTTGAGGTCCTTAGCTCAAGGTTACACAGGTAATAAATAAAGGAGCTAGGGTTGAACCTAGGACTTTCTAACTACAAAAGCCCTTTGGAGCCATGCAGGTCATGCTTCTTCTTTTATACCATGTCAACTCTTCTGAGGTGTGAAGTCAGACAGCATATCTGTCCAAGTCTCCTGTTCGCTAGGTGGAACGGCTCCTTCAACTCTATCCAGAAGAACATAGATTCCTGCCTCCTTCTCGGCCCAGTGTAAGACCCAAAACCAGACATACTCTCTGCCAGGTGGGTTTGGGTCAGTCTGGAATACAGCAGAACTATCACATCCTTCCCTGGCACTCACCTTTACTAATGTAACCCTATGGCTAGTGAGAGAGCTAAGAACTGTCCCTCCCTTGGGCCTCTATTCTCTCTTAAATCAATAGCTATGAGAGAAGAAGCCAGAATTTTGCCCCCATCTCCATCACTACTCCCATTCTGAATGTTCTGAAGAGAGATCAGGAAAGAGACAGGGGTGGGGGAAGAGGCAATCAGAAAGGCAGGAGCATGGCAGAACTGGGAGGATGGAGAGCCATAAAGGAGTGAGGTGGTTGTCCAGTAACCCTAGTTAGGGCCAAGGGAGTGGGGTGGGGGTTGGGGAAAATAGGGCTTGGGGGATGTACAGGAAGATAAGAGAGGTGAGGCAGGACCCCAGGAGTTTGGAGAGGCCAGGGTGGGGAAGGGCATCGGCCTGCCTAAGTTAACATTGCCCTGCTGTGCAACAGGAAGTCAGTCGCACATTAAGAAAATGTTGCAGCTGGTACTAAATTGGGAGGTGTCACAGGCAGCAGTGAGGACAGGTATGATTCGTGGGGCCCTGTGTGGCCTGAAGCAGGGGCACATATTGCAAAGACAGAGAACAGGGTTTCTGGGGCCACCCAGGGACGAGCTAACTGATGCACTCAGGACAGGGCCCTGGGGACAGGGGGTTACCTGGCTCTGGAACAGGGGCTCCCAACTTGGTTTCCAGAAGTAGAGAAAGCCTCTTCATCTTGACCTGGGGCTGTGGGTTCTATACTTGGAAGAAGCTCTGAGGGTGGGGCATCATCTCCCAGGGATCCCATTTGGGATGGGGACTGGACAGGAGGGTTTGAAGCCCAAGAACGTGCTTGGGAAAAGTCAAGGAAGGCCTGCCAGGGAGGTGGGGTGAGGGACTGAGGAGAGAGGAGCCTACAGGAAGGAGGGTAGCAGGGCTGTCTTTTCCCTTAGTGCTCATCATACAGCTGGATTCAAGAGCCAGTTGGGTCTGGCCTCACTTGAGGGAAAGAGCATTGGAAGATGGGTGGGAAAGGCCAGAAGAGAGCCGTGGACCTGGCACTGCCCTTCTGCAAGCACGGCAGGCAGCGAGAGAGCAGGCAGAGTGTGCTGGTTTGCTGGAGAGAGACTGACAAGAAGACAAAGGAAAGGAGGGAGGGCCATCAGGAACTTGATGGAAGGCCATGGCAAAAGCATGACCTTGGCACCAAAACACGTGGACTGGAGTCCTGGCACTCCTACTCATTAGCTGAGTGACCTTAGGGCAACCCGTCTAATCCCTTGCACCCGAGTTTCCTCATCTGTAAAATGGGTGCAATGGTGCTAGTATCAGCAACCTCCTTGATCTCATAACATATATGAGAGGGGCAGAAAACCCTAAGCATTACATTAATGTCAGATGTTATATTCTCATTACAAAATGCTATCAGCACTGTCTTCCCACAAAAGACCCAGGATGTGGCAGAGCAAGGATGATGATCCCTGTTTCACAAATGAGGAAATGAAAGCTTGCAGAGGTGAAGTGACTTGCCCAAGGTCACACCACTAACAAGAGATAGAGGTGATAAGGCCTCCCAAATCAGAGAGATCAGATGTCTTTCTCCTACGTCACATTGCTTCGTAAAAACAATCAACATGAGAGATTTGTATTTACTTCGGGTCCAGACAGAAATTGGAGTCAACCACAGCACGGAGAAAACCCCATGGGGAAGTTGTGGTATGCCTCTCATTCATACTGGCGATTGAGGGAAAAACAAAACGAAACAAAACATGGGCCATGGGATTGAAGGGAGGGCCACAAGACAGACATCCTTGATTCCATCTGCTTGTGGACCTTGTCTCTCTGCTCCCACTGAGTGTATGTGTCCGTGGCTGACATAGAGGATATGTGTCTCTATCTCTATATGATAAAATGTGTCCTTCTTCATGTGACAGTACTTCTGCCTACGTCTCTGACACCATGGGGAGATGTGCGTGTGTGTGATATGGCATCTGCTTCTAGCACACTGTTTGTGGGTGTGACGACCTCTCTGCATGTCTGTGTGACTTTGCCTGGGGTGGTGGTGATGTTGTATGGCAGTGTGTGCATGTCTATCTGTCTGTACACCTTTAAGAAATGGAATATCTCATTTGGTAGTGCGAGTGAGGCAGTGAGTCAGCTGAGGCTGAGGGAGGCGGGAGGGAGACTGCTAGGTTACGAGAGCAGGAAAAAGGAGAAGGAGAAAGTGAAGTCAGGAGCAAGGAACTACCCCTTTCCTCCCCAACCCTCTGTCCCCAATCCCTATGGAACCTGCCAAAAGCATGGAAGCCCTGCAGAAGTCCACAAGGGCCATGCTAGATAGAAAAGGGCACTTTCTGCCCCTCCCCAAAGTCTTGGAGGGAGATGAGCTAGGCTAGAAAGCAACTGTCTCACTTTCCAGCTCTTGGCCCCAGCTCGAGTATGTGAGGCCACTACCCCTCCCAGTCTCCTTGTCATTTGACCCTTTGACCTTGCTGTTCTCTTTCCTCCCAAAGGCTGGTCACCTGGCCAGGCTGGGCGAGCAGAGCAGTAGCATCAGGTCCCAAATGTTTGCATCCCTCACCTACCTAACTGTCCAGAACAAGCCCGCTGAGGGTCAAGAAGTTTCCCAACACTCAGCTCTTCCCTAGGCAGGCCCGTTCTGCAGCTGCCTCGCCTCTCCTCTAGATGCCTATTCCCAGCAGCCAGAAAGGCAGTTTTCCCTCCACTGTCACACTCAGGTGCTGCGAAGGCACTGGGAGTTTTGAATGAGAATGCATCAACCTTCAGTGGCCTTCCCACCAGTCGCTGTTCCCTGTTCTCAGCTCCTTCCTTTATCAGGGGAGAAGAGCCTGCAGGTGCCTTCCTTGGGAGAAGACAGGCATCTCCTGGGCTCCACCTGCCTCAGCTCTGGCCAGCTACCTCAGGTCACATAAGGTCAAGAGTGTGGTGTGTCCCACCACCGGGAGTGCTCCTCCTCTTACCCACTGGCAGAAGCCAAAGGGTGAGTTTGGTTGCCAAATATTCCTCCTCCCATCTTCGGCCTTCCTCCTGCACCAGCCGGTCCCAGGACTTTCAATTCCAGCCTCGGAAAGGAGGCGGGCATGGCTGACTAAGGATGGAGGCTGGAAGAGCACAATCCTTCCTGCCATCCCATTGTCAGCCTAGGGCCCGTGGCCCCTCCCCCCTCGTGAGGGGGCGGGATGCCGGGAAGCCCCAGGCCTAAGGTGCCCAAATCCGGAATTAATTAAAGTTGGCCAGGTGGTTACCTGACCTGAATCCCTGAGGCTCCTTCACTAGGGAGGGTCCCAGCGTGGCACTGGTAGTGCTGCACTGGGCACGGTGGGAGTGGTGGTGTAGATGGAAAGGGAGACTTCCTTTTTTCTCCCAGTCCCACTGCCGCCGCTGCCGCTGCCGCTGCCCAAGCAGCCGTGGTGGCTGCGGACGCCAGTCCTTACCTTACAGCCTTTCGTGCAGGACCGGATTGAGTACTCTTCCGCCTGTAAGTATTTATGCAGCACGAGGTCGAACTCATCATATTTTTCCTGAGCATGTCGGTCCAGCCGCTGATACGCCTCGATACAGTTGCTACACGCCTCCCAGGTCCCGGAGCCCGGGCTGGCCACCACGGCCAGCAGGTCCCCGAGCAGGGTATCCAGACTACAGTCCAGGCTGTCAGGGCGGTCCATGCCCAGCAGCAAGTCCCAGACCGTGTAGGTGTCGCAAAAGGAGAGAGTGAAGTTCCGAAAGTGGCCTTTGAGCAAGTTTTTTTTGGCGGAGGGGAACTCGGCCGGGGCACGGGAAGGGGAGTCAGGGGGCCGCAGAGGCGGGGCCGGGGTAGTGGGTTCGAAAAGTCTCTGCAAAGATTGCAATTTGGTGCATGCTGCGTCCAGCCCCGTGGGCTCTGGGACGCCGCCGCAGACCGGCCGGGAGCCGGCGGCGGGGGCGGCTTTGGTCAGGTTGCTGTATCTGGGGCCGCAGGTGCCCGGGGGCGCGCCGGGCTCGCCGGGCGGCGGCGGTGGCAGCGGCAGCATCGCGCGAGGAGGCACCCGCTGCCGCTCCCGGCCGGCCCCCCAGGGCGGCCGCATGGCACTGCTCAGCTCCCTGGCCCGGGGCCGGGCCCCCGCGCACAGCCACAGATGGTCAGCGAGCAGCACGGTGAAGAAGAGCAGGGACGCCAGGGACAGTCGCCATCGCTGCGCCCGCTCCGAGTCGGCGCAAGGTTTGTCACTCGGCCTGGGAGCCCAGCAGCAGCAGCAGCAGCAGATAGTCAGCGCGGCGGCGTCTTTCCCGGGCCACATCCAAGCGCCCCTGAACATATTTCAGGGGGGTCCGGGCTGGAGGGAGCAGGCAGGCGCGAGGCCGGACGGCCGTCTCGGGTGGGCGGGCTGCGCGCCGTTCCGCGCTCCTCGGCGCCGTCCAGGCTCTACCTCGGGGGCTGCATGGTAAGGCGGGCAGGCCGGCCGGCCGGGGAGCCCGCTCAGGCCGGAGTCGCGGGGCGCTCTTGTGCAGTCTCCACGCCGGTCCCGCGCTCCCTCGCTCTTAGCCCGGGCGCCGCCGCCCGGCCCGCTAGGCGCTGCCCAGCGTCCCGGCGGGGGGCGGTGCAGGGCACTGGGGCGGTGGCGGCTGCGGCGGCGGCGCCGCACTCCTCATAGTGTCGGGCCCCTCAGCTGTCCTCCGCTTCGCGCCACTTCACTCCGCGCGGGCAGCCGCCGGGCTCGCACTCCAAACCGGCCGTCTCGGTTCGGCGCAGCTCTGCACCCCTCAGCGCCGCCGCGCGGGCCCCGCCGCCGCGCTCCGCTCCGCTCCGCTCCCTTCGCCCAGCGCCGCTCCGCTCCCGCCCGTCCGCCCGCTGCCCGCTCCTCGCCGTTCCCTGCCTCGCTCGCACCCTCTTAGGCCGGCCGGCCGGTCCGCTGCCGGGCCCTTCGGTCTTCGCTGGCGCTCCGGGTGTTCGCCGGGGCCAGTCCTGGGCTGGCTCCGCTCTGGCTCAGCACCCGCTGCTCCTGGAGTTCCGGCTCGGGCGGGCCACCTGGCTCCCGGCAGCGCCACAGGCGCCGGACGCGGACACCGGGCTTTACTTAGTGCGCCTCTAGCTTCCGCCTCTCGTTCGCACCGCTGTGGCGGCAGCCTAGCGGCACGGCCCCTTGGCTCCCGCTGGCCATGCCCCCTCAGTCTGTCGCCATCTTCCGCTGTGCGGAGAACACCTTGAGAGCCCGTGTGCAAGTGTGTTTGGGGGGGAGCGGGGCGGAGAAAGAGGCACCGAGAGGAGGAGGGAGCGGGACTGGGGCCCCGACTGCGCCTGCGCCTCAGGACTTCCCCCCCACCCCACCCAGCCCCAGCCCCCGCTGGCCGCAGCCGGTGCTGTTTGGGGATGTTTCCAGTCCACCCCCAACTCCATTCACTTCAGCGCCTCCGTTCATCCGCCCGCCGCCCGCGTGCACACGCCGCACGCTAAGTCCAGGGCCCCGGCGCTCCCCCTCCCCCACTAACCGGGGCGCCCACCTTCCTCCCCAAGGCCATCCCTCACTCCCCCGAGGGCTAGGGACTTCTGAGGGTGATTCTTGGAGGCAGGGGGCAGGAGGAATTTTGTAGCTGCTCGCTGCTTCTCTGGGTAGCCTCCGCCGTCCCCGTGACTGGGAGACGCTCGAGCTGGCTGCGGATCGGACCAGTCCGGTGTCTCTAACTCCATCGTCGCCCTCACCGTCCGGCCCGAGGACAAGTCGGCCCTTGGTGCTGAAGGACAGCTCCCAGCTTAGCTGCTGAAGAGGACTGAGTTTGGAGAGCGTCCAGGAGTGGGCAAGGCAGTGGGCTAAGATAGTAGTGGTGGGGTGTCGGTGTTTGCCCTTAGGAATATTTCCAGCAGCCTCCACCCCCACCCCGCCCCAGCACCAGCCCCCGTCCTAGCTTTTTGGCTCCCCCTACAGGCTGCTGAGGATAGGTGATGGAGAGTTAGAGAAGCTGCGCCGCCGAGGTGGAACCATGTGCTTGGGGCCCTCATAGAGTCACATGGCACTAGGAACTCAGATGTACAAACGTCCTACCACGCCACTAACCTTGTTTGGACCCCACTGGCGCTGTGTTCTACTTGCTTTCCTCACTCCCAGTAACTCTCACATTGTAATTTTTTGTCAACCGTTGCTGGCAAGGATTTTTTAATGTTTATAATAACAATAAAGAAAATAGCCTTAATTGAGCTCGTATGATGTGCTAGGTACTACTCTATACATTTTGCATGCATTCGTCATCCAATCTTCACAACAGTTTTATGAGATAGGTACTACTGTTATCTTCATTTACACACAAAGAAGCTGAGGTTTCGTGTGGTTAAGTTGCCTAAGGTAACCGGAGCAGCTAAGAAAGAAACTCAGTCTGACTCTAGAGTCCTCTTAATACTCCAGTAAGGTCCTGGAAAGATGAAAGAGCCAAGCCATTCCTGCCTTAAAGGAAATTATAATCTATATAAGGAAATGAGACATGTATATTGGCTAGTGGGAGGATTCATGAACTAGAGCCTTGGTAATAACTCAACTGCTGAAATGCTGTGTGCCCTTGAGAGAGTGTTTTCCTTTTCTGAGTCTTGGTTTTTCCCTGAGTAACACGAAGTGATGCCAAGGGTTAAATGAGATGGGTGGGCATTGTTAGCACTACTCAGAGGTGGGCTGGGGTGGGTACATAAAAGATTTCTGGAAGACGGACAATTGGAGCTAGTTTCTAAAGTAGCAAGATTTGGGTGGGTGGTTGGGAAAGGCATTCCAAATAAAAGGAATGCAGATGAAAAGTTTCAAAGGTAGGGAGCAGCCTTGTATGTTTGTGAAGCCTGAAGTGTGGCAGTTCGGCTATATTGATGGTGAGAATTTGTGGGGAAGGGAGTAGCAGGAAATGAGACAAAGGACAAAACTGTCGGGTGTTTGGGAGGACTATTTATTCATTATGTTTCAAGCACTGTGCTAGGGGCTAAGTAGGATACTGAGGTGAGTCAGACAGCCCTGCCCTTGAGATACTCACAGTTGGATTAGAGAGGCACACATGTTAAAGAAGAAATTGCAACCTAGTGCAATAAGGATGGTAGGGGTCCCTCCCGTAGAGGGAGGGACCAGTCAACTTTGCCAGATTCCTTCAGAGATGATTTTGCCCACAGCCACTGGAGTTGAGTCATTCATTCATTGATTTGTTCCTTTGTCAAACATCTATTGAGGATCTATTACATTCTAGATGCTCTATTAGGCATCAGCAATATATATATATGAGTAAAATACATGTCTTGGGCTGAGGGAGTTTAGTTGAAGCCTTAAGGGATGAGTAGGGACTGGCTAGACAGGTAGCAAGGAAGGTGGCATGTGAAGGATGTCCCAGGCAGTGGGAATGTTTGTGTAAAGGCCCAGAAGCAAAACCAGGAATGGTATGTTCAGAAACCTGCAAAGTGGTTCATCATGCCTAGGTGTGAAGTGGGAGCACTACCAAAATGAGGTTGAGGATTTGGCAGGAACCAAATCATGAAGGGCCCTGGGTGCCATGCTAATTAGTTTGGACTTTATCCCAAGGGTACTAGGAGCCATAAAAGAGGCTGAAAGGTTTTCAGCAGGAGGTGACACAATCAGACTTGTATTTTTAGAAGACTAATTTGCCTGCAGCGTGGAGACTGGATTGCAGGGAGTGAGATGGCAGGCAGGGAGAGTTGGGAGACTAGTCTCCCAACCCAGATTACTGGTTAGTAGTCCAGGTGAGAGGTGTTGAGGGCTGAACAAAGGCAGCAGCACTGGAGACAGAGAAAAGAAATGCACATGGGAGGGAAATGAAATAAGCAGAGTTGAAAGGACCTAGGAGGCAGGGCCAGAAGGAGGATGAAACCAAAGAGTTCCAGTTAGTGACACTGGCATGACTGTCCCTGCCCACCTAGGAACTGTCTTTCCTGAGCCATTCTTTGTTCAGTCCTTGGAGGGTTCAGTGTTCTATTTAACAAAGAAAGCTAATCGCTTACGGATACCTAGTTCGGAGGTGATTGGCAGGGCCACACTGATTGACACCCTTGAGTGCCAATGAAAGAGCAGACTGCCAGGTCTAGGCTATCAGCTCTGAGCACCTCTGGAGCTTTCTGTGAGAAGTCACTCAGGCAAGACTCCCTCCCTCTCCTCAAGCACACACAGGGAGAAAAGTGTCTCACAAAGGTCCATTTATCACAGGAGCATAATATAACAATAACTTACCTACGCAGTACTCACTGCACACAAAGGAGACGTGCTAACATACTAACAGTCAGAGGAGGCTCTCATTCTTTCATTCTAGATGACCCAAGAAATTGGGATGGGGGAAGGGAAGTCAATGGCCTCTAATCGGCCCCTAGAGCAGACTAGCCAAGGTGGGGAGGAGGACTGGGTGGCCCCCTACTCCCTCGGCCCCACCTCCAGAGCTGGTGGGACCTGGCTAGTCCTTCTCAGCCCTTTCTCTCCACATGCTTCCGGGTTAGTGGAGGCTAAAGCCAGGGGATAGAGGCGGGTCACTCCTGAGGGGGCCCAGACTGCACAAGAAGAGCAATAGAGTGCCCTCAAACCAGGCAGCGGGGAAGATAACTTGAAGGAGAGGGAGAAGGGGATGGTTTCTTGCAGTGAAATGCTGACAATTAGGAAGAAGACAAAGTGGGAGCTATTTAAAGGGGCCAATGTGGATCAGGAGCTTTCTGTTAAGCTCAGATCTTAAAAGGTCATGGGGAAAAAGGATGGAAAGAAGGGCATGTAATTAAGGGTGAATCTGTAAGAAGAGCGTCAGGATGGCTAAAGCGCAGCCTGAGCTGATGCTTGTCAGGCTCTGCCTGGATCCCACCCTCAGGCCCCTCCTCCCTTTATAGTTGGAGTAATTTCCCTCCTACTTGAGGGCTGTCCCTGTCCTAAGACAGGAAGGATTGAAGTAACTCTGCTATGCACACTGAAACTCAGCATCAGGTCATCCCTTCACCACTGACCTGAGTCCAATCTCAAGTTTCCGTTGAGAATATTCCTCATTCCCCACTTATGATCCCTAACCTTCTCTCTCATGTCCTGTATCTGAGTCCCTGATTCAGAAACCCTGACTGCCTCTACCAGTGCCCTATCAAGGCCTAGACCCAGTCATGCTGTTTTAGTCCACCATCCAGGAAGGAAGTCCTGACCCTAAGCCCTAACCCAGTGGCTGAGAGGCCTGGTGGCCCAAGGACAGATTCCTCTAATCCCAACTGCCCACTTGTATTTCTACATATCTTCTCCTTCTGGATTTCAATAGTCATGTTTGTCCTCCATTTAGACCTCCCCTTTTTCTGTTATGTGAGGTTACTATGTTAATTAGGAATATTTTTGGCTGCAAATACCAGACAACTCTACAATAGTGGTTTAAACAGATAGAGGCTTATTTGTCTCATTCAACAAAAATTTCTTTGATAGATGGCACAGATAGGACTGATGTGGCAGTTCAACAATGCTATCAAGACCCTGGATTTTCATCTCCACTGTCTTAAGGTAGGCTTTCATCCATTTGCTTTTTGCCTCACGGTCACAACATGGCTGCTGCAGCTCTCAGCCTCAAGTCTGTATTCTAGAGAAGAAGAAAGGAAAGAGCTAGGGGGCAAGAAGGCTAAAGACAAAAGATCTTCTAGAGGGGCTTTGCATTTTTATTCCAAATGGAACACCCTCTCCAGTGATATCCACCTACATCTTTGACTAGAACCATGTCATATTTAGACTAGACTAAACCATGTCTAGTCTAGATCTTTGACTAGAACCAGGACATTCTTAGTTGCAAAGGAAGCTGGGAAATACAGTACTTTTAGCTGGGCAAACTGCTGTCCTGAACAAAATTGGGGTTATATATGTAAGGAAGAAGAGAAAAATAATTATTAGGCAGGCAATGAATAGTATCTATTATGAACCCTAACCACCAATTGCTTGCCCGAACTACACCCCCAAGACACTGGGCTTCTGACTACTAGACTTGACTTTCTCCTGGCAACCACAGCTGGGTTTATTCCTCTAGCACAGGATAGTAGAGACCTGCCTGGTTTAACAGCAGCACATGTGAAAAAGACCTTGATTTGATTGTAGAGTCAGTGTGAGCCAACAGAGTGATGGTGCTGCCAAAAGAGGTAATTAGATTTTAGGCTGCATTAATCGAAGTAGAGAGCCAGAATAAGCGAAGAGATAGTTCTGCCCTTCCCTACACTTATCATATCCTACCTGGAGCACTGTACTCCATTCTGGACAACCCATTTAAGCTAGGATACAATGACAAGGTGCAAGGTGTCCAAAGATGAGTCGCTGGG